TTTTCGGATTAAGAAAAATACCCAAAATTTTGACTTTCATCTTTTGCCCAAATCATTCCTTAAGCATGCTAAAACCTCCCCTTTATTTATTTAATCAATAATATTCAATTATTTTCGGATTTATATTAAATTAAAATTTGGAAAAATATTTTTTTCTCTCCAATTTGACATTAGAGGCCTCTTGAAGCCCTTAGGAACCCAATTAGGAAGCATGCGTCCTATAAAAACTAGGTTTTGAAAAACCCTAGACTTTCCTTAATTTTTCCACTCAAATTTGGTAAATGAAAAAATTACATTTTTCATATCAAAAGTCTTCCCTTAAGCTCCTCTACTCATTCCAATAAAAATTTTGTCAAAAAGAGAAACCCTAAAATTCGGATCCTAGGTTTTCCCTTAAGAAATCATCTTGAAATTTCACTAAAATACATTCCTATGCAAACCCTAAAGGTTTGCTAAAGAAACAATCAAGAAAAACCAAACCCTAATATCTTTCTTTCAATAAAACTAAAAAAAAAACTCAAAGGAATGAAGGGAAACCTATCCCAAGTCTTCCTCTTGCCTTTCCCCAATGAATCTCACCGGAAATCTCGCCGGAAATAGCCGCTCGGGATGAAGTTCCGCCGCTCCTCTCTCTCCCGTCGCCCCTTTCTCTCGTTCGGCCGAAGGAAACGAAACAAGGGACCGAATGTTTCGGTCCCTTAGGCATGAAATGGACTTAAGTAATTTCTATATAGCATTTTTACGCATGTGCCCTTAACCCTAACATTTTCTTTAAAACTTAGAAGGGCAAAATAGGAACTTTGGGAAAAATTTTACTTAAACTAGCTTCGGAAATTTATATCTTCCAAACCGAGCGAAATTAGGTATAAGTTCTTTATACCATTTTGCTCGAAATTTCGAGACGAATTTAACGAAATTTATTTCGTCGAATTCCGACGACGTCGAAATTTCGCTTAATTTCGTCTCGGCGCATCGATATGCGTGCGACACACTCAATTAGCGAATTTCGGGTTTTACAGATATGAAATTTCAATTTTTGTTTTGGATCTCTATGTGAGTTATAGAGAGTGGTCAAAGCCTTGGAGAGGCTCAATCGAAGTACCCAACAGCCTCTGCGAGTGAGTTCTTGGTTTTCTTCTATCTCTTCTTCTTCTTCCCCCCAATTCCCACCACCCGAGCTCCCCTCCTTCCTACCCGACAACCTACCATCACCTCCCTTCATTGTGTCAACCCCACCTCCCAACCTCATCACCACCGCCGGCCCAAAGCTTGTTCCCCTCCACCCGAGCCAAATCCCCCTCCCCCATGCCGCCGGCCCACTCTATAATCCCCACCATTATGATGATTTTCCTCATCATAATTGTTTTACTAAATTAAGCCAAACCAAGAGGGAAAGAATTCTAATTATTTGAAATTCAAATTTTGAATTTCAAATACTTTTCTTTTTTTGAAATTCTAAATTAAGAAAGTGATTAAATCTAGTCTTAATTTGAATTTCAAATTAGACTGGATATTATAATTCCTTTCCTAAATCACATAGCTTGTTTTGGAAGCTCATAATTCCCTCCACAAAAATCCCTCCCCCTACTAATGCCGCTGGCCCCATGATGGGAGCTCCACCTTGGATTTCCTTTTTACATCCCAACCTTATTTGAATTTGAAAACAATTTTCAAATCAAATTCCCTCCCAATTTACTTGAATCTGAAATTAAATTTAGATTTTTGTAATCATTTTCCCCACCTAACCCTAAACCAAAATCACACAACCCAAACCCTCACCCCCTCTCTCCTTGGCCGACCCCCTCTTCCTCTTACTATTCTCTTGGAAGCTCCAATCCACATGAGTTCTATGGCAAGGAAGAGAAGATGTCGTTGAAGACTAGGTAGATCACATCCTTCTTCACCTAGCCGGGGTGATCGACCAGCAACAACCGTTATTGCAGAGGCAACTCGTGGGACATTCAACCTTACCTCCTCCGGCTACTTCCCCATGATCAAGACCATCGGTGTCACCATTCTCTTAATTGGCATCGTCTAGTTTGCTCAAGACTTCTCCCCGATAATTAATTCCCATAGAGAGTTAGTGAGGTACAAGGAATTTGAGGTGAAAATTCTTGACATTAACCTATGGATTGTTATTACAAGTGCATTAAACTTTACTGTGATTTGTTGATTTTGTTTGAATAGGCTAGTCCTTCTAAATTGCAACCTATTGCTAAAAAATTCATCAAAGATAACTCTTTAATTTTTTCTTGTAATCCATCATTCGTGAAGTAGCAAGCTTACGAAACTTTTATCTTTTCTTTAAAATCCTGGTTGTTTCGCATCAGACATATTGAAAGGATAAGATTGGAAGATCAACTCCATCAGTCAATATTGGACCCGACCCGAAAACCCGACCCGAAAAAAGGGCTTAATGATCAAGATTATGAGGCATGAAGTTTGGACTATTGGATTGAAATTCTAGTCATAGCAAATAATGATGAGTTTGAAAATGGTCATGTTCATATAGCAGGATAAGATATGAGATGCATTTTTTTAGTGGAAAATTGGCACTCTCCTTATTATTGAAACAAGCAAAGAAGAAGCGCATGAATGGAAGAAAGAATGCTACTTTTGCGACGAGCAAGCTCCCGTCGTCGTCATTACTACCGGTCGCAGTCGATTTTGGCCGAAGAAGAGATCGAAAGGAAGAAAGAAGGCTACCTTCGCAACTAGCAAGCTACTTTCAATCGCAGTCGATTTGGTTGAAGAAGCGCGCAAACGGAAGAGTGGCTACCTTCATAACGAGCAAGCTCCCATCGTCGTTGTTACTTTCGATCAAACAAATGAACGACGAAGTGTGATTTCGGATCCGACTAGAAGGAACGTCGTCAAAGGAGGCGAAAAAGTTTACTTAGCTAGTCGTTCAAAACTCTACCCGTCACGCAATGGAGGCGAAGTCGAAGAGCAATTAATAGGAGAGAAGGGGTAAAGAAATCATGTATAATTATTAAAAATAAAATTATGTATAATTTTTTTCAATAAAGAAAAGTTTAATAATATTTTTTACAAAAGTTATAATCTCTAAAAAATTACATTTATTAAATATTTTAATTTAAAAAAAAATTAAAGTACCCTCATTCTTAACACCATCAACTCTACCATTAGATGTCAGGATCAAAAAAATCTCATTTGGAGAAGTTGAGGGACCAATAGGTCCCTGATCCCTCAAAATAGTTGGGGATTATTTTGGTCCCTTACAAAAAGTTGAGGGACCAATTTTGCCCCTTTCTCTTTTTTTGGGTATTAGGGTATTTAAAGCTTCCATGAAAATTCGAATGAATTCAATTGATGATTAAAATAATTTTAGAAAACATTAAAATTATGTCTTCCGCTTGTTTTAATGATATTAAAAAAAAAGAGTTTCATCTTACATTTGAAGTTCATAACATCAAAATTAAATAGCAAGAGAATGACTATTATCCTCCAAAATCCCATAATTTAATCCGATTTCCACTGGCATGCTAATTTTTAATAAATGCAGTGTTAATAATAGATGCCTTAACGTTATTCTTTTATCAACATTCACCATCTCAATCACTCGTTAGACAAGTAAAAACTGTTAAGGAGAAAAGCCAGAAAGCAATGAAGATATCAAATTAATAAAACTAATGAAATTGTCGTCCGATTGAAATGTAAATGTTGACCAAAATTACCATTGATTGTATTTTTGTGAACGTCCTGCATTGACCTTTACAATGTTCTCAAAATACATTGATAATATTTTTCCTTGTGTGGCTTATTGTTTTTGTTATGTAGGAATATATTCTCAGACGATGGTACAGGGCCATCCAGTGACGCAGCTACAACTGCCGTCCAGGCTTGTCCCTCTTACAACTAATTTCATATTTAGATTTCGTGACCAGTTAGCTTCCTTTTAAGTTTACATAAACTCTTTTTCCTGTCTTTTGTAGGCAATGTCAAGGTATACACGCAGGGAGTCTACCTGCCTGTCATTGACAGGTATAATATACTGTATCAGCTTTCTTAACCTTTCGTCTCAGTTCAATTTATTTTTTTAGTTTTGGTGGCTTTTACTTTTTAAATAGGAAACACCAAGTAAGTCACCATGTTTGATGGAATGATGGGAAAGGAGAATTTAGAAGTAAAATAAAATTAAAAAATAGTTATTTATGAAAAAATATAGGAGAAAATATGATGACCAATTTTTAACTAAAATGAATCTTAAAATACATTGATTTGTTTTGAAATGTTTAAAATATTGTCACGATTCGGCCCGGTGAGCTCGCATAGACGAGGCGGGAATAGATGTCGGACTTTAATGATAGAACATAGCATTTCAATATCAGATAAACATGAAATATATAAATCTAAAAACTTCTCAAGAGATTATTTAGCGCCTCTAAATTATACCGTTTTGATTGAAATTTTACGTAGAATTTAATAAAATTATTTGCGTCGAGTTCCGACGACTTTAAAATTTCACCTAATTTCATCGAGGTGCATCGAAATGCGTGTGACGCATCTGTTCGAAGTTTTTCGGGTTTTACAAATATAATAGTTGATTGATTATTCATAAATTGCACTAATCTCAAAATCAATATAAATTAAAAATTTTAAAATCCATCTTGATCAAAAATTTACTTAGAATATAATTTTTCATTTTGGTTATTAAAAGAACTTGATGTTGTTGTTGTTGTTGTTGGTTATTAAAAGAACTAGAGTTGACATCTCATGGGAGCTCATAAAAAAGAATGAATGTAGGAGAATTCTTAAACTCAACATCCTAAATAATAGGGATAAGACTGATGATGATGATAGATGATGATGATGATGATGGCTTCTCTTTAGTTTTAATTAAACATGTTCTTAGCTTATAATCTTCTTATTACATGCAGACAAGGAAGCTATATTCTCTGGCAACTTTTTGTTTACTTCCTTGGAATTGCAGAGCAAGTACCAAAAGCTACATAATTGAGTGTGAAACAATGTAAATAGAATAAAAAATTAGATCTGCCACCTAGCTTTTGATGTTGATTTTTTTTTTCCTGATATTTTTATATTTGAAAGCCTTGTCACTGGATTCCTGCTAAAAACTAGGGGCACATGACTAGAATGCTATTAGCAATTTTCGTTTCCTTGTCTCAAGTTGAAGACAAGGAACATATTGGTCTAAGATGGCACATTTCATTTAGATGTTCGCTTGTTTTGTTGTTTGGGCTGACAATTTTAGTAGGATAGCAGTGGTGCTGGAATAGAATTTGTTATATATATTATTTGAGAAAAAGATGAAAATAGTATTTTGACTTTTTATGAAGAAAATTATTCTGTGCGGATCCCAGACAGCGTCGTAAGACTAATCAGGACGCGCCACGTCACTTTTTTTGTTTGGTACTGGATAACGTGGTGCGATTTGGTTGGTCTCTGGGCCATCTAGTGTCCGCTTAGAATAATTTCTTCTTTATGAAAGATCAAAATAATCCTCAATTATATTAAAAGATCATTTTGATTCATGAACTTTTTAAAAATGAATCAAAATATTCTTATGATGAGAGTATTTAGATTCATTTTTAAGAAGTTGATTGATCAAAATAGTCATTTAATATAGTTTGAGTCATTTTGGTTTTTCATAAGGATCATTTTAATCTTTTTTTTTTTCTATATTGTTTGATGTAATTTTTATTTTATATTGTTTGATGTACTTGATTTGCAGGCTTAATTATGTAGCTTAATGGGTTTTTGAAAGTTAAGATGCGTTAAATTTTTGGTGCAACTTCACTGTTGCTATTGTTTGATGAGTTTTTTTATTCAATTTATTGCATTTAATATGCTTCAGGACACAGGCTTTTTGATATAGCTGTGACCTGTGAGGTTGGAGCTTTCTGAAACGAGTAATTGTTCTAGTATTGAAAATTTGGCATATAAGGCTATATTTGCCGTTATTATAATTCTTTATAAATAAAATTGTAAAATTATTGTGAGAAAAAGTAATATTTTTAAATGTCAGATATTTTATTTTTTGCGGCTCATTCTAATTATAAAAGGTAGTTTTTCACTAATTTTTTTTTTAGAATTAACGAAAAAATAACAACAATAAAGAAGTAATTGTCTAAAAAGTAAATTAGTAGTGTTTAGAAAAAAAAAAAGTAGATCAGTATATATTTACATGATTTTTGGAAGAATGATGCTAAAAAATTAGTATTAATTATGTGTAAATATGCTAAGATATTATTAATTTATTATATATTTAATTGTAAATGTTAATTATTGAAGAATTTATTTATAAAAAATTTATGTTATTTAGTGACATTTAATTATAATAAAATATCATATATTAAACTTTTAAGTATATGGTAATGAAAATTGGATGAAGCACCATAATTGAACCATTAAAATGAAATACATATCTCAAGATAATTTGATCAAATTTTAGTTTAAAATTATAGATTATTTTTGAGTAAAGAAAGTTGTTGGGCTTTATTTGGTAAAGTTTTTTTTAATTATTTTATAATATTATTTTAGTATGAAAGTTATAAAAAAATTATTTTCAGAAGTTAATCCAAAGAAGTGTTAATCTTTAATCTTTGATTTAATAAGCCTAGTTAATAGCATGAAAGTAACACTTGGAAACCCAGATGACTTGTATTTGCTAATTGCTACTTTGCATATAACAGATCAATATCAACAATGATCAGATAAAGGAATATTATACCATTGGATCTCATATTTCTCTATTAGTTGCTGTTGGTTGCCTTTTTAAGGAATTTTTATTTGGTCAGGTAACCTGACGTAGCTCTACATTCGATGAGCAGTAAACAGGCGCCACGTATTCTCACTATTTACCGCGCGGCCCGACAACCCGACCCGGGAGTTTGCGTATTGCTCGGTATTGCTTGGTATTGCTAGGTATTGGTCGATTTTGCTCGACAAAAATGAAAATTACCATTATGTGAAGACCAATATCTAGCAATACCGAGCAATACCGAGTTCTTTTAGGTATTACTCGGTATTGCTCGGTATTAGTCTTCACAGAGCGGTATTTCTCGTTATTGTCAAGCAATACCTAGCAATACTGAGTAATACCTAGCAATACCAAGCAAATACCGAGCAATACACGAACATAGTAATCCCGGATTCCGGTCCGAGTCGGGTCGTCGGGCCGCGCGGTAAAGAATAAGAGCACGTGGCGACATATTATTGACTACCGGACGTAGAGCTACATTAGGTCACCTGACCTAATAATTTTTCCTTTTAAAGAGAGTGGCTTTGGTTATCCTATTTGTGTGTTATACTAAAATTACTATGAAAATTGCACATTTATTTTCTGATTGTGATGTACCTTTCACGACTCTTAAAATATGTATTCAAAATTATGATTTTTTTTTTTTACTTTGGTGGATCTCTGAATTAAGTTTTAAATCATTTTGATTCTATAAATTGCAAAAGATTTTTCTTTGTTGATGTTTATATTTCAGCTTATTTTACCTGGTAAAAAAGAAATAATTGGATTTTTAGGAATAAAGTGTCTAATTGCCACCCATTGATCGAAGAAATTATGTTTGCCATTAGACGAAAGTAAAAGATGAAAAATAAAGTGTCTGGTTATGTTTTTAATTTTTCACTTCCTTCTATATAGGGGTGTCAATATTTGACAAGACATGAAAATCCGACTCGAACCCGACATAGAAATTTCGAATTTGGGTCAACCCGAACCTGAATCGGGTCAGGTTCGGGTTAGAACTTTCAACCCGTTTCAAAAATCGTGTCGGGTTCGAGTTGATCCGGAAACCCAGAAATGACCCGAATTAACCCGCTGACCGCAACTGCCCGAGTGACGCCCACTGTCCGCGTGAGTACAAGATCGCGTTCGCGTCAGCCTATCCGCTGTGATGCCCTACTGCCCGCTATTGTGCTGCCCGTTGTTCGCTTCCCTGCTTGCCCAACTATCGTGTCGCGATTCGCATCTGTTGGCAGCTGGCTGCTGATCATCCCGAGATGGCAAAGAGGCTGTCGCAGCTGCCGGTGGCCTGCTGAAGGCTCGCCGCTGCCGCTGGATGCCATTGACGCGAAGCTGTTGACGGTGTTACCGTGTCTGCAAGATGGGTCGGGTTAACCCGAACCCGACCTGTGACCCGAAATTGGCACCCTTATTTCTATATTATTTTGTTTATGTTTTAACATAAAAAAAAATTGTTTCTTAAGTACATAATATTTTTATTTTTGTTAGTTTGTGTGGAATTGGATTGTGTCGATCAATCGAGTTGTACTATTATCTCAGATTTCAATTCAAATTTTCAAGCTCATTGGGGGCTTTCTGTGGAATTTTTCTCTTTTTTTCGCACAATGCACCAATATTTTGTACCCGAACGCCCTAGTGTTTTGTTCCCAAGCACCCCGGTGCTTCAATGTTTGTTGGAAGAAAAGATAGAGAGCTTAGCGCCGAAGCGCTGTGAGATTGATCGATGACAGAGGTTTGAGCGGTGCAGCGTTACAAGCTAGCACCACAACGCTTTTGAGGCAGATTGGATGGTTTTTTTTTTTTTTTTTTCTTTTTTCTTAAGGTTGGCATTCTTTGGTGTAATTCATTTAACTTTCTATTTTTTTTATGTGTTAGAACGGTATAAGAGGGAAGAGAAGCAAGGAGAGAGCGAGAGAGACAAGAGAACTATATAAATTTCTCCTAATTTTCATAGTGAATTTCTTCTTGTTTTGTGGCTCTGTGTTTTTTTTTCTGATATTTGGTGTTTCCACATTAAATATTGGTGTCTTTTACTTTTCGATTCTTTCTATTTTTCTTGTTTGTTTTGTTGCATGATTTACTTCCATTCCCAACAATTTTTATTGTATATCGATGGAATAAGTTGATTATTATAGTAGTTGGTGCATTTGTGGGTGGTGACGGTTGTCGCTGGTGGTGGCTTCGACGGCCAACAAGGTTGCGATGAAGACGGCTTGTGGAACGTCGATGGTGTTCGCCAGCGACAATCAATAATGATGAATGTAGTGGTTGCCAACAGTGATGGTGGTAACCAACGTGATAATTATTTAAAAAGAAAGCTCTCTCTCTCCCTATATATATATATATATTTTCGCCAGCGACAATCAATAATGATGAATGTAGTGGTTGCCAACAGTGATGGTGGTAACCAACGTGATAATTATTTAAAAAGAAAGCTCTCTCTCTCCCTATATATATATATATATATTAAGGGATTCATCGATCCAAATAAGCCAACAGCCGTATGCAAATTGCATAAATCTCTTTATGGACTTAAGCAAGCCCCTCGGCTATGGTTTCAAAAACTTACGGATTTTCTCCTAGCCCGTGGATTTCGGTTTAGTCGCTCCGACACTTCTTTGCTCCTTCTTATCAAAAATAATGTACATATCTATTTTCTTATATACGTTGACGACATCATTTTAACAGGCAGCGATCCTATTGCTATCAAGTCTCTGCTTGCGGATCTTCACTCAACATTTGCACTTAAACAGCTCGGGCAAATTAACCTTTTTCTCGGCATACAGGTAACACATACATCTCACGGTCTGTTTCTAACTCAAGCTCATTATGCAGCTAAACTACTCAAGATGGCGGGCATGTCGGATTGCAAGACTTCTCCTACACCAATGGCGCCAGCTTCCAAATCAAAAACAAGCACCGATCAGCCATTTCCAGATCCATCCTGGTATCGACGTTTGGCCGGTTCACTGCAATACTTATCAATAACTCGGCCCGACATTGCCTTCGCTACCAACAGAGCATGTCAACACATGCAATCTCCAACAGTTCAACACTTCCAAGACATCAAACGGATCTTACGATACATCAAAGGAACTATCACGTTCGGTCTACCCATCGTTACCGGCGATCTCGAGCTCCAGTCCTACTCCGATGCGGACTGGGCATCAGACAACTCGGATCGAAAATCTGTCTCCGGTTTTTGCACATTCTTAGGACCAAATCTCATCTCATGGTCGGTTAAGAAGCAAATCACTGTCGCCAAGTCCTCCACGGAAGCCGAATACCGCTCTCTATCAGCAGATATCTCGGAAGTCCTCTGGCTTAGACGGCTGGCCGAAGAACTTCAAGTAAATCAGCAGCTTCCTACTCTCATTCACTGCGATAGCATTTCTGCCATTGCTATTGCTAAGAATCCTGTGCTTCACGCAAGAACGAAACACATCGAAATAGATTTTCAATTCATCCGACATCATCTCACGGCAGGGCATATTCAGATTCAGCACATTTCTTCTCAAAATCAGATAGCCGACGTCCTAACAAAGCCTCTTTCGGCCTCTCGCTTTCACGAGCTTCGAACCAAATTAACCATTCAATCCTTGAATGCTTAATTTGAGGGGGGCTGTTAGCACGGCATTAGTTATCTAAGCATGCTCTTATTACTGTTTTACCACATTGTAATATATAAATACTCTTGTAATTACTTTTCATAATACAATTTCAATTTTCCCTCTCTTCGGCTTCTTGAGAAAGCTTTCTCCTCTTCCGCTCAAGGCGTCATCGCCTCTCTGACATTTTAGTCCATCGACTATTAGAAATTGAGTCAATTTAGTCGCAGAGCCTAAAATAAGAGTTAAATTTAACTGTAAAGTTAAATATAAAGAATATTTTAAGCGTTACAGGTGAATATGAAATTACATTACTTTCATTGTTCTATTTTATCATTTAATAAATTATAATATATAATTAATCCAATATATAATAATAGTTAATAAATAGTCAAAAAATTTTATAATTTTAAAAGCATTTATTAACCCTTATATTTTAGAAGAGTCCACTTTAAATAGTAAGATTCTTAAACATCTTGTAATTTCTTTCTAATAAGCTCAAAATCATTCTAAAACTTCATATAGTTTAGAATAAAATAAACAGAAAAATTTTCAGAGCTGTCAGAAGATGAGATCCGAGTGGGGGGAAGGCTAAGATCCAGCCAACTTCGAATCTCCAGTAGCCTGCTAGCATGTGGGGAAGATTCAATGATTTTGAAACCCCACAAGAACATAAATAAAGTATTTCATATTCCACCTTCTTGATCAAATCCTAACAATAGTCACTTAAGACTAAAAAGCAAAGTATGATCAACAAAAAATGACAAACAACAATCCAACCCTAGGGCCGCAAGCGAGCCAAACGTTTGATCAGTTACTCGTTGCTCGGTTCAATTAAAGCTTGTTCGTGATCGTTTAATTAACTAAATAAACAAGGTTGAACACTGATATGTTTGGCTCAATTATTTTCATGAACAATATCATTTAAAATTCGTGAATAAGCTCGATTTGTGTTAGATTCGGAATTCTTGAATAAGCTCGATAAGAAGTAAATTAATATTTGATTATAAAATTGATAAATATAAATAATATAAATATTTTATATTTATTATAACATAATGATATAATTATTATTAAATAATAAATTTTAAAGTAATTAAATATTATAATATATGCTAACTAAAAATTTCATTAAAAATGTTCACGAACATGCTAAATGAAATTGTTTATTAGGAGACTTGATAAAGCTTTTTTGTTAAGTTAATGAACATCTAGAAGAAGAGCTCGTTTATAGCTTATTAAGGTTTATTTGTTTAAAGTTTGATAAGCACTAAAGAACCAAATATGAAAAAAATATGAACCAAACATGAACACACATTAATTTAAACGCCAAATATGAACACAAATAATAAAGCTCGAACCAAACATGAATCAAACTTGAACAAGCTAATAATAAATGAACTCAAACATGAACACTCACATACTCGCTCGGCTCGGTTCTTTTGCAGCCCTATCCACTCCAAAATAAATTCAAGAGGTTAAAAGGGATTTCAACAACCAAACAGCAATTTCATGCTGATGCTTTAAAATCTTGATATTAAATTTCTTTCTACAATTCTCATCACTGATCATCAATGATGAAAGGTCAAACCACCGCAGAATCAAACACTCAGAATCAAATTTTAACTGAAGACAGCTTAGGTATTTGTTGTTAGTGAAGTTAAATTGGTGGCAATCTAAGGACCCACAAGAACACTCTTTTCAATTCTCCAACTGTTGCTTAGCTCAACACACAAGTAACACAACCACCACATGGTCTACTGTTGAAATCAGCCAGCTATATAATAAAAAAAGAACAAGCTGTCTTCATCTAGATAATCTCAGTCAGAAACGCCCAATCTCTTCCAGTTTTCTGATAACAAGCTTGATATCTGGTCTCAGAGCCGGTGATGTCGAGCAGCAAGAAATTGCCACTTGATAGCATCTAAGAAGTGCTTCATTGCTTGAATTTTGGTCTTTTTTGCCATTGATGATGATATTGGAGCTGAATGTATCACAGATCTTACTATCGAAAACTGACAATCTGCAACTCGGTGCATCCTTAAGAGTAATTATCTCAAGCAAGATGATCCCAAGGCTGTAGATGTCTGTTTTCATGTTGGCCTCCTTCATCTTGATCAGCTCAGGAGCTTTGTATCCCTGATTTGCAGATGCCTCCAGCATTTCCTGTGCTGCAGTTGGGCTAAGCAAGAGGTGCAGGCCAAAGTCGGAGAGGTGAGGACGAAGATTAGAACCGAGGAGTACATTTTTCGACTTTAGATTGCCATGAATGATTGGTTTCTGCAATGCATTGTGGAGGTGGTCCAGTCCTCTGGCAATTCCTAAGCAGATTTCATAGATGACTTTCCATCTTTTGGGTTCAGCACTGCCTGCTTTATTTAGTTCTAAAGGTTAAGATATGGAAGTATAACAAGGAAATACAAAAACTAATCCAAAAAATCAAAACAAGATTTAGATTTTGGATCTTAGAGAAGCATGAGAAGTGAAAAGTCCAAGACATGAACTGTGTGGTAGAGTAATTTACAGTGAAATTCATGAAGGGAATCTACTGTAAGCTTCAGAAAAACCAAGATTGCTTATTTCAACTTTCATTTAATTAACTAAAACATGATGAGGACTGGCATTTCTACATCATTCGCATCACCAGGGAACCATAACAGCTAAATCAGAAAAAATAATTTCAGAAGCTAAATCAGAAAGCTTGTTGCAGGAAACAAGTGCCACCAAAACTAATCAAACAAGTCATCATAAAAATAACATCTTTTTATTAACACTTAAAAAGGAAAGTCCACTGCCAGCTCCGGAAAGAACAGGGTTGTTCCTTCTAACTTTACATCATCAACTAAAACACGATGTGATTGAAATTTCTATATCATTCAGAACATAGGATCTACAACAGAAAAATGCGGAAAATATAGCTTCAGTAGAGTTAAGTACTTAAATCTAACTCAACATAACCATAATATCGAGCTGAATCGAAATAAAAGTTCTCATTTAACGTGAAAAAGGTAACACAAAAACATCTACATTACAGGAACCAAATCATCCCAAAAAGGGCATCTTCTTATCCATTTTCTTCTCCAAAGACTGTAAATTCGCCTCAAACTATAGCCAAGCAAAACTACATGAGAAGTAGTTACCTTTCAGAAACTGAGCTAGATTGCCAGCAGCATAGAAGGGATAGACGAAGAGCTTCTCCCCCCGCGGCCCCACATAAAGAGCCCTCAGTGGCACCAGATTAGGATGCCTGAGCAACCCAATCAACCGGATAGCCATGAGGATATCGCCAGTCCGGCCAACACAGTCCGGGCGGATGAACCGGAGTAGCATGACTGCGGTTGCTCCGGCGCCAATCCGGATGGTAGCCCGGTACAAAGTCCCATAACTCGACTTCCCCACAACTTCCCCTGGCGCATCAAGTATGTCCTGAGTCCTCAAATGTTCGCAGCCAGCAAACACCACAAGCTCTTCAGCATCTGTCTTCACAAGCTTAAAACCCTCGCTCTCCTCCAACCCGTCGCTGCTACTTCTGCTTCTAATGTCCCTTCTCCGACGGAACCAGAAGTATAATAAGGAAAAGACTAGAAGAAAGAAAGAGATGGATACGATGCTGAGAATGATGCGGAGATTGCGGTGTCCCTCCATTTGGGATTCGGCGGGTAGGATTTTCCGGGGAACTAGTTGAAGGTGATTGAGAAGGCTGGCATTGATGGGAATATTTATGATTCACGGCGTGCCTGAACAAGAAATGAGTGGATGTGTGAAACTGTAGAAAATTGAGAGATTCGTTTCCTTTAAGCTCCAATTCGAAGCTGGAAAACAGAAAGTAGAAACCCTAGAGGGAGTGTTTGGCTTTATTACAGGATTGACGCTTAGGGAACCAGCAGCTTGCGAGGGAGTTGGAAGATAACAGAGCTTGATATTTAGAGAGAGAAGCGGGGGTTTGATGTAGAAAGAGAACAAATAAATTTGTCTCGTCTAAAGGAAAATTCGAAAATGGGTGAATGGCAAGATCTTTATTTTTTTTAATGCTGTTTGATTTGAAATACTATAAAATAAATTAATCAAAATAAGAATACAAAATATTTGTAATTTATATTATTTATAGAAGAAATATAATAAAAGTATTATTTTTTTTTCACTTGACTGGTTAAATAACCTAATTCTACAAGTCCTCATAATAAAACTACTTTATTATATAATAGGCTCTTTTTTTAACAACTTTTTTATTGTTTTATTTTTTACGAGATAAATATAATTTCTATTTGGTCACTATAATTTATTGGTTTCATGATAATTTTATCTTATGAAGCCGCTTTCTACAACATTAAAAAAAAGTATTTTCTCCATAGCAATTTTATAATCAAATTTATAAAAAACATCATCTATCCTAAACTAACTCTTAAGCTTCATTTGGGACGGTTTTCATACTGATTCTTAAAGTAAAAATAAATTAATCAAAATAAGAATATAAAATATTTGTAATTTATATTATTTATAGAAGAAATATAATAAAAGTATTATTATTTTTTTTCACTTGACTGGTTAAATAACCTAATTCTACAAGTCCTCATAATAAAACTACTTTATTATATAATAGGCTCTTTTTTTAACAACTTTTTTATTGTTTTATTTTTTACAAGATAAATATAATTTCTATTTGGTTATTTCATGATAGTTTTGTCTTATGAAGCCGCTTTCTACAACATTTTTTAAAAAAAGTATTTTCTCCATAGCAACTTTATAACTAAATTTATAAAAAAGATTAGTTGTCTTAAACGAACTCTTAGGCTTCATTTGGGACGGCTTTCATACTGATTCTTAAAGCAGCTTTTTAGTACAAAAATTTTAATTTAATTTTTATACTAAAAAGCTAATTCAAGAAGCAATATGAAAACTATCCCAAACGAAGCTTTAGTGATCATCTAGCTCAACTCTACTAATGGGAGTTCTGCTTCTAATGGTAACTAAACCTTGATCAACAAACTCATTGTGAAGTTTCTCGATGACACCATTATCTTCTCCAGCACAATATTCCTCTTCACTCTTGCCCCTTTCATCACATGAGAAATTATCCTGTACGAAGTCTTGATGGAAAGAACCGTTTGAATATGTGAGTTTACACACTGTGTGTACATATTAACACACACTATGGATATTATGTACATAGTGTGTGTACGCTTATAATCCAGACAGTTCTTTTCAACCGGACTCCCCACAGAATAATTTCTCTTTATTATATGATCTGCCTTGCTATTGTCAATTAATAGTTAGTTTAGAACAAATTAATTTATTTTTCTGTCGTAATTAATTATGTATATAGGGCAAGTGGTTAAAAAAGTTTAATAGCCACTGAGGTATTAAATGTAAATTTATGAGGAGAGAAGAGAGAGATAGGAGAACTCATGACTTTTTAGAAAGTGCTTTTAGTTGAAATATTTAGGATTCTTTTGGGACGGTTTTCTTACTGCTTCTTAAAGCAACTTTTTAGTATAAGAAAATTATTTGTTGTACCAAAAAATTGTTTTAAGAAGCAGTAAGAAAGCTGTCCCAAACAAAGTCTTAGGCTTCGTTTGGGATGTCTTTCTTACTGCTTCTTAAAGCAGCTTTTAGTACAAAAACTTTAATATTTAAATTAGTTTTTGTACTAAAAAGTCGCTTTAAGAAGCAGTAAAAAAGCCGCCTCAAACTAAGGTTTCGCTTGGGACGGCTTTCTTACTGCTTCTTAAAGCCGTTTTTTAGTACAATATTTTTAATATTTTGTACTAAAAATTGGATTTAAGAAGCAATAAAAAAGTCGTCCCAAACGAAACCTAAGACTTGAAGGATTTATGATGGTTAGGAACTTAGGATTGGTTTGACACTTTATGATTCTATGGTAGGCCAACTTTTACTGTTGAGGTTCATCATAAGAACACTGTTGTTTAATTAATAGAGTAAAATGTTGTTTGCATACTCATTAAGGTTTTATTCGGGATAATTTTTTATTACTTTCTAAAATAATAATTTTTTAAGTATAAAAATATCTTGAATAAAAAATTTTGATATTAAAAAGCTGTTTTAAAAAAACAATAAAAATGTTGTCCCAAACGAAACCTAAGGTTTTATTTGAAACAGTTTTCTTATTACTTTTTAAAATAATATTTTTCTACAGTTTTTTTAAATAATTTTTTATACTAAAGCAAAAAAAAAAAACTATCACAAACATGATTAATTATTCTGTGCGGACACCAAACATCGTCTGGAGATAAATCAGAATGTGTCACATCACACTTGTGCTCGATACCGTGGCTCAGTACTTCTCGGTATCGCGGCTCGTTACCGCTAACATGACGCATTCTGATCGGTCTCTTGACAACGTCCTGCATCATATCTCCGCACAGAATAATTTCTCCCCAACCTAAGCAAAGGCTTCCAATCTAAAAAAAAAAACACATTTATGAAATTTCCATATATTTATCTATTGAAGCATTAAATGTACTAAATTGTTCAGAGGCAGAGCTTTGCATGTGCTCCATTCTTCAAAATTTTAATTATTAACTGATGGCGTTTACTTGTGCTGATCACATGGTAGAGAGAGAGAGAGAGATCGCAATAAAAGAGTTGACCATTTGTTAAATAGGAAAGTTTTTTTCTTTAAATAGCAGTAATATAATCTTTTGTTAATTTAAAATTTTAATATTATTCATAAGAAAATAAACTAACAAATTTATATAGTTGTATGAATAACAATTAATTTATTGAGAATTTGATAAAAAAATTTAAAAAATATTAATTGAGATTTTGTTTTGATTTTTGAGATTCATGCTATTGTAAATAAAAAAAAAAGAGTGTTAGATTTATAATTTTTAACTTAGAAAAAAAATTAGATTAAATTTAGTACTATTTTCTAGACATAGACACATGCTATTATTCCTATAAGTTGAATTTAGATTTCATTTGGGATAGCTTTCTTACTACTTTCTATAACAATTTTTTAATTAAAATTTTATCAAAAGCAACAAAAAAACTTTATTTAAAAGTTGTTCTAAATGAAGCCTTAAATTAACTCAACTAAGGATGTAAACGAGTCGAGTCAAGTTTGAGTTAACTCAAATTTGAGTTTGAGCTTGATTAATTAATCGAGTTCATGAGTTCGAATCAGTTTGTTTATAATAAAAGAGAAAATAATTATGAGTAAAGCAATTATTGTTGTTGCGTCATGGAATATTTTCGGCGATAGAGAAATATAAAGTTTAACGTCTTAGCTTTATATAAAGATCCAACACGCAATCATATAAGAGATAGGATGTAGCGTTCATAAGAGACACCAAGATTTTTACATGAAAACCCCTTGAAAAGGGGAAAAATCCACAGGGCCTAGCCCAGTTTGAATGAATCCACTAATATTTACAATTGATTACAAATGAGGTCCTTCATTAGGGAGAAGCCCGGGGATGGGCAGAAGTCTAGCGTCGAGTAGAAATCCGACGAAATGTGAAAGTTCGGCGTATGGTTGAAGTCTAGTGATAGGCATAAATTTGGTGACAGGCGGAAATCCGATGTCGAGTAGAAATCTAACGATGGTCGGCGGACGGGCAAAACTACAGTATTAGTTGGTGGTCGGGCAAATCTTCGGTGTTGGTCGGGTAGAACTCCGGCGTCAGTCGGTAATCGAGCAAAACTCCGGCGTCGGTCGGCTGTCGGGTAAAACTCTGACGTTGGTAGGTTGCAAGGAGGAAGTCTGGCGATGATCGAGGAAGATTCTGGTAGCAAGAGAAATATCTTCCTTCTCTTCCTTTTCTTCTTTCTCTTCTTGCTTGGGCCTCCTTCTTCCCACTTTTCTCGGGGTATATTTATAGTTTTTTGAGAGTATCATAGTGAGTAAATACGAGGAAGATCAAGGGTAAATTGGAAGTGGTTTTAATGGACGGCCAATGTTGAATATCTTGATCATGAACCGTTTTATTTAGTATTTGAATGTCTTAATGATATCAAAATTTGGCAATCTTGGGCTCGTTAGATTCGTCTCGTTGAGCCGCTTGATTAAACTATAAACATGTCATGTTTGGAAACGGTTTGGTAATCCAAATTATAGTTTGAACCTTCCAAATATGTTTTGGGTCCTTGATTTGGACTCATATAGGCTCGAATTGAGTCAAATGTGCTGTCGTTGGGTACATATTTCTGAGACGTTCAGTTTGACTGTAAGTTTGCTAAAATCGGAGTTCAAATTGTCTATGATTCAAATTTTTAAGTTTACAATATTGGTTTTCCTTCAAGATTTGTGCCCGATCAAGATAATTTTTTTGATGATATATCAATTGTAATAAAATATAAAAATAATTAAAAATAGAAGATAAATAATAAAGAATTACTTGACATAAAAAAAGTGAGATATAATTTTAAAATATTTTTAATTGTATTATACTTGAACTCCTAAATTCTAATATATATTTTAAGCGTATTTGATATCATTATTTTTTAAAGGAGTTAGCTGGCGAGCTAATGAGTCAAATTGTGGCTATCTCAAGCTTTGCTCGGTAGTTCATTGAGCTCGGCTCACTAGCATTTATCAAGCCAATCTCGAGCTAGTTCATGTCTCGGCTTACCATACTACGAGCGATTATTATGCGTGGAGTCCGGATACAGAGAACAGTTTGATTTTTTTACTATGAATAGTAAAAGTGCAATGAAAGAGCAGATGTGAACAATAAAAACACATTAAAAGAGCAGAGAGGAACATTAAAAGCACAGTGGTGAATATTAATTGCACTTACTGTTCACAATCACAAACCCGAACGATTTTTTATCTCCGAACTGCGCACGTAATAATCTCTCCTTTACTACACCCGAAAACTCAACAACTATCATTGATGTAAGCCACTCGTCGAGTTAATGAATATTTTAGGTATGTTATGCTTTTATCTTATCATTTTTAATTTTTTTAGATTTTCTTAAAATATGCATAAAAGAAGAATAATCTCACATTACCAATC